TATAACGGAAAGACGGAGGCCCATATAGAACGTGATCTATGCTTGAGTCCGTTTGTGTGTGTGTGTGTGTGTTTGTGTATGTTTACGTCTCCAAGACAATCTCTCAGTCGACTTGTTTGTAGGCTTGGCGTTGCGAGTGTCTATGACAGAGGTCAAGTCAGTAAGAAGCACATATTCGATTTCGTCCAAGGGTTGGATGACTTTTAAGCTGTGTTGCTGTGTACCACCACAACCGTTCAAGCTGGTAAACAACTTCATCCCCTACAGGTCTGCATTGGTGCACACGCCAAGCACGGATGTCTTCAGTCGTGCTTTTTGTCTTCTTCAGTTGTCTGCTGTTACGCCCCACCACATTTCAGCTCGTAACTGCCCACTCTTGGCTGAGTCTGACCTCATCTTATCGACTCTCTTTGCTCTCCTGGCATCGAGCTCGAGTTCGGCTTAAGAGTCTGGCCGGATCTACACTTTTAGAGTCTTTACTGGTTCATCTTCTCGCAAAGATCGTCTTCTCTCCTCTTCAGAGTAGAGACCAGAACAGAGAGAAGTGCATTCACGCACCAGTTCTACAAAAATATGCATACATATACACACACACACACGTACTTATCAACATGCATATAGTGTCGCATAGGGACGAAACCAGGTAGACATCGATTCATTTGGCAAGGCTTGGTCAAGAGTGAAGCAGATAAAGACTTGATTTATGGGCCTTAAGCTGACACATTTGCCTACTTTCTGGCGCTAAAGCGGAGGGAAGAGGTCAGGAATACGGCACCACAGGTGCAGTCGTCGAGACCATTCGGATTTCATAGTTGTGCTGACTTGGCGACGGTGGTTTGCGTCGCGACGACAATCAGGTGCAGGCCAGTATCGAGAAGTTATCTTGTTGAGTCAGACAGTACAGACAAGCTTCATTTCTTCTGGTGAGCTGAAGCGCTATGCACGATTTTGCAACTCCTTTATTCGTCTGTTTGCTCATTTAATTTAGGTTAGTTACGCCTCTCAATGTCACATTGCGGACGTACAGGATAGCCCTGACAACCGATGGCCTCTTTTGGGGCTGGTCTTGTGCGATACGAGACTTCTGCATCCGGGATTTGGATACAGATACTTGCAAGGGCCTACGGAACCTGACAGCTGATATTCCATTCTGGCTCATAGTACCAGTGAATTTCACATTTTCTTACCTCCCAAAGCCCTGGTGACAACTAAAGCTGACTGACCTGGCGCAGATGTTATATCCTGTTCCAATTACTTTGAGCCGCTGGTTTCGTACACAAGCGGCTACATTTCTTCGTCGGCTGCTATAGCAAATGACAGTTTGCTGCGTCGAAAATCCCATCAGCAAAATGTGATATGGAAAAGGGATATGATTATTTGTAAAATTCTTGTCTGCTCTGTCACCCAATGACATTCATGACAGGTAGACATCGATTCAGTTGGCAAGGCCTGGTCAAGAGTTGAGCAGATAAAGACTTGATTTATGGGCCTTTAGCTGACACATTTGCCTACTTTCTGGTGCTAAAGCGAAGGGAAGAGGTCAGTAATACGACACCACGGGCCTTGATACCACAATTCGGGTTCAAGACCCGTTGGAGCTGGTGACGAAACAAGTTCAGGCGGGGTCAAAACGGCAGTCCCCTTCAGCCGGGATGAGAATGTCTTTCGGGAAGCAAGGCTATGTGAAATGCAATGGGAACATGCGACCTCTTGAGAGGATTGTGGGAAAATGCAACTTCCAGTCCTTCTCATCTTACACGAAATAGCATGAATCGAGTCCGCTCTACAATGCCTTGAAGGTGACGTCTGTCCTCTGACTAGCAGCCATTATGCAGTAACGAAGTGGAACCGTGTCGACACGATGCGCAAAACTCGGTTTCGAGTCATACCGTAGACGAAACTGCAGTCCAGGCAGATTTAATACAATGATGAAGCCTAATTATGGGATTATGGGAAAAAATTTCATTACCAATCGTTGACTCACCTCACGCAAGCTTGACCGACAAAGTACTTATTATCGAGTTAGTGAAAGATTTGAAGCATACATTTCTCGAAAAGGGTCATCGGATAGTTGAAAAAATGCCTTTTTCATTGAGTTTAATCCAGCGAGAACACCTTCGGGGCACGTGTTTCAAGAACTTTCATCGCTGGAAGACCAGGGACAAAAAATCTCTGTCAGGATCACGACTTCCTGCCACGAAATTGTAATGCTGTCATTACGGCGCTGTATCAAAATTAGGTTAAGATGCAGCTTCGGAGGCTGGTATTTCCGAGACATCATTCACATTCGATGACTCTTTCGTCCAGATTTGGGCGTAAACTGGGAATGAGGCGAACTTGGTTCGTTTTAGAGCGGCTCCATGAAGTGCTGCTTCCTTCTGCGTGGTTGCCAGAGGCTCTTTCGATGGCAACTGAAAATTTTGCAAATATCGGTTTTGCTGCCGAATCCTCGAACTTTTTATAGGTCTTTTTAGTCCTCTTCTTGTACCGTTTCTTCTGACAAAACTGGCAGAATTTTCTTGCTTGATCATATCTCAATATTCAGTCTGGTCGGCAGACGTGCTGGCTCCATGACAACTTATTTTTGCCGATTTCCTGTTCAGCAAACCACATTCTCTG